GACTCTGTGGGCGGAGAGGCGTCGGGGAGCCTCGGGGACCCCAAATCCCGAGTGTTGGGGGTCAACCTGCCTCAGACACACCCTGCCCAGCGGGGACGCTGCCTCCAGCTCCTCCTCCTAGGCGCCACCAGAGCGGGAGAGCTTGTGACTGTTAATCCACGTGAGTCGTCAAAATGGCTGACGGGAGGAGGACGCAGGAAGTCCCGCCCTAACCGGATGTGCTGGTACCAAACCGCTCTGGTCTGAGGCACGCGCGCAGTACTTTCTGGGTAATGTAGTTTTAGCAACGACCCAGAGGAGGGTCATCCGAGCCAATGACCTTGGTGAGTATAGGTGTTGAGGCCCCACAATGGGAGCTGGAGGACATGATGGGACTGGAGGTCCGCTTAGGTGGTCCAAACTGACAGATCTCTGAGGGGAGGCGGGAGGGGAGGCCTGGAATAGATTCACCAAACATTATATACATATACAGAGGGAAATGGGAGACAGCTATAATACTATCAACAATAAAAAATACACATATTTTTAAAAATTTTTAAATACTATAGCCCAGCAGGTGGGGCTCAGTGGTGGAGCATCGACCTATGAACCGAAAAGGTCATGGTTTTATTTATGGTCAGGGTTGCAGGCTCAATATCTAGGGAGGGGGAGGTACAGGAAGCAGCCTATCAGTGATGCTCTCTCATCATTGATGTTCCTATCTCTTTTTTCCTCGCTCTCTGAAATCAATATATTTTTAAATGTATGTTTTAAATCAATTATAAATAAAGTTTTAAATAATGTTTAAAATTTGCCATTTCCCAATTGTTTTTACTATTTTATAATGAATGTTCTTTTTTCTTTTTTTTTTAAATATATTTTATTGATTTTTTACAGAGAAGAAGGGAGAGGGACAGAGAGTCAGAAACATCGATGAGAGAGAAACATCGATCGGCTGCCTTCTGCACGCCCCACAGTGGGGATGTGCCCGCAACCAAGGTACATGCTCTTGACCGGAATCGAACCTGGGACCCTTGAGTTCGCAGGCCGACGGTCTATCCACTGAGCCAAACCAGTTCGGCTATAATGAATGTTCTTGAGTATATTTGTTCCTACTCTATCAGTATGCTGCAAATAAAACATCAGGATGTGCTACTGAATTAACTTATGCCCACGTTCATTGCCATTAAGTTGGCACTTTGAAGCTGACAATGATGACAGTATTTACATCAGGGAAATTGACAAACACCTTGACTTCACTTACTGTACTATTGAATGTTTAAACTGAGAAAAGAATGGAGAAGAATGTTAGCAATGCAGATTAACTTAAATGTGTGTCTTACAAGTGGGATTTAATTGCCTTTAGGATTAAATATGTGAAAAACATGCGCAGCCAGTGTGGCTCAGCTGTTGAGCATCAAACCAGGAACCAAGAGGTGGTTGGTTTGAATCTCAGTCAGAACACATGCTCCTGTGGGCCCCTGCCCAGGGCCGGGCCCCTGCCGCTCCTGCTGTGCCCCTCCTCCTTTTGCTCTTTGATGTTTCTATCTCTCTATCAATCTTCTTTCCTGTCTCCAAAAGCAATAAAAACAGATTTTAAAATAAACAAACACGGAGCCGCTGTGAAAGATTGCAGCTCTGTGGTGCGGGCAGGGCACAGCGATGGCCCTGCGGGCAGGGGGCACTCAATGGCTTGTCTATGTCCTGCTCTTCCCTCTCCTCACTGACAGCGCAGCCTCAGTCATCTGGGAACTCAGGGAGCCCCGCAGCCGGGCTGGCAAAATCCGCATGTACCCGTGGAGCAACCTCTGAGCCATGGGTCACTTCATGGGCAAGAAGAGTCTAGAGCCCCTGGCTCATCCCTACTAGAGACAGCTCCCGACATTTTGCTGGGGGACCAGAGACTGCAGAGGAGTCATGATCTGAAGCAGGGGGTCCCTCGGGGG